GATGGCAAGGTCTGCAAACCAAATACTCATCCCCAGCACATCCCCAGCAATGTGAAGAGGAGCTTTGGCTGCCCTTTGTGGGCAGATATTAGCTCTGATCAAGGCATGGATGTCCCAGGAGGGTGCTCGAGGGACTGGACCTCTGGTTTGACAGCACATGCGGCTACCAGGGTAGCGACTGGAGCAGCACGAAAGCTCAGAGGCGGTGGATGCCCAAATCTCTGCAAACTGGTGCCACTGAGGACAAGATGCCACAAGATGTCCTTGCGGGACAAGAGCTGTGGTTGCTCCAAAGCAAGGAGCTGTGAAGGTTCCTTTGGAGCACTTCTCTGGGAGCTCAGAGGAGACAGCATCAGTCCCTCTTGCCCTTCTCCCCACCCCACACCTCCCACAATGCCGGGCATCTTGTACCACTTCCAACCCTCGCTCCTTCCCCAGAGATGCCTTGACCATGCCTAATTCAGCAACGCTGGCTCCACTCACCCGTCTTCTTCAGCTTCTCCTTTGGTTTGTCCTCACCTTCGCTGTGGCACAGAAATCAGCATCAGCTCCCAAAAAGTCTGTTCCCCTGACAGCCCACACGGCAAAGCTCTGGCCCCCCTTGGCGAGGGGAGCACCTGCATTTGTAAGACCCCCTGCTCCCGTGCCACTGTCCCCGGGGCCAGAAAGGTGGCTAAGAGACTGTGATGTCCATCCCAGTCGGACCCAGTACAAAGGTGATGCAGACCACCACAAAGCAACAGCATTGTCTCCTGAAACTACATATCTCCGTGCCTGAGGGACACAGGACCCCCAGACCATGAGATGCCAAATGACCAAAGTATGAAGCGTGGGACCAGGCTAGAGACCGTCTTCCCATGGCCATGATAACCCCTGGCTCTACAGTGGCCCTACACCCAGGAGGTTTCTGGCTTGGTCATGTTACGAGTGCCTGCCTCAGCCCACCCTGCCCACCCAACAGAGTGGTACCCACTCGCTCTTTCTGGTGGTAGGACCCTTCAGCTTGGTCTCCAGGCCACCGAAGAAGCCCTTGACGTTCTCCGTCTTGGCCGACGTGTTTTTCAGCAGCCGCTCCGCGATGTCCTTCTTCTCTGCCAACCAGCTGTTCGCCGACTTCAGGTACGAGTCGATGCTGCCCGTGGGCTTCTCTTTGGCCTCCAAGGGCAGCGCGTGGGTCTTGCCTGCGGGCAACGTGGCAGGAGCTCAGCTTCCAGGCCACCGAAGAAGCCCTTGACGTTCTCCGTCTTGGCCGACGTGTTTTTCAGCAGCCGCTCCGCGATGTCCTTCTTCTCTGCCAACCAGCTGTTCGCCGACTTCAGGTACGAGTCGATGCTGCCCGTGGGCTTCTCTTTGGCCTCCAAGGGCAGCGCGTGGGTCTTGCCTGCGGGCAACGTGGCAGGAGCTCAGCTGGCCCCACAGTCCTGGGTGCTGCCAGCTCCTGGGGGACCTGCTCCCAGCTACAAGATGCACCATGGAGACCAGGAGCCAGACAGAAACGGCCCAGACCCCATCCCATCCCAATTCCTGTAGGTCTTTATTGTCCCCCCATTTTGAATAGAAAATCCAGCCCCCCGTGGAGGAGTGATCACCACACACCAAGCAACGAGCCAAGGTGCTTCTGGGCTGGGGGTTTCACATCCCATCCCCAGGGTTGGGGAACATCTGGGGATCACCACATACAAACGTCCCTGGCTAGAAGCAATGACAAACCAGCATCAGCGGGAGGTACCACCCCAGTGGGGGTCTCCGGCGGGTTTGCACAGCTTCTGGGCCATGGAGGCTCTTTTCTGCTCAATATCGGAGTCAGCCAGAGTAAGCTTGGGTACCCATCCATCACCCTTCCCATGCACAGGGCACACTTCACCACCGGTCTCCAGCACAAGCAAAGCCCCAGGGTGCAAGCACCTCTTACCCACGTAGTAGTAGGTGAAACACATGGTCATGAGGTTCTTGGCAGGGCTGAAGTCATCCATCTGGTGACACCTGACACGGGGGGAGGATTCGGTGAAGATAGCCAGCGATGGCGGCCCAAGCAGCCTCGTGGTTGCTGCCCCTCCTCGAGCTGTGGCTCTGATCTCAGGGGCTTTTGGTGGTTGCAACAAAGCCCCAAACC